TTTGTAGGCTTCCCTTGAGACCCTTTTACAATGGAAAATAGTCGAAACTATTTATTTTTTATTTCACAGACAATTTATTCAGTTTTCGGTAATGATGTCAAAACGTACTAGTTTTTGGAATTTGTAGACTTTACCCTTATGAATATTTGAGAAATGATAGAGTTTAGTTCTGATTTAGCTTGATCATTAGTGGTGGTATGAATTTATCATTGGTGGTGGTTAATCTTGTTTTTTTCAAGGGTGCGTTTTCATTTACTTAAAACTTATGTTGTGTTTAGGTTTTATTGTTGCTTCTCTTTCGTATGTAGAACATGATTATAGGTAATATATATGATTGAGATAATATATGAATTTTATAATATTAATTATATTGGGATTGATGAATAGAGAGAGAAATGTTATATTTACCCACTAAATATGAGTAATATAGATTCTATATTTAGAAACACAAAAATGGTTTGAATAAATATAAAAATTTTATAATATTAAAAATCTCTTATATTTACCATCATTTACCATCCATAATCATGAATTTCGGTATTGTAGATGTTAACAACCGTTTTATGGTTCGTACTATGTAATTCTCTTCGATATAATTAGATGATAAAGAAAAATTAATTAAAATGATGTTGTAGGGAGTATTATAAATCTCTTTTTTCTTTATATTGAGTTAATTTTCTAAACAGAAATTGTGTGGGAAGAGGTAGAGAATCGACTAGAGCTTATCGTCCTCATTTCACTCTTACCACTCTTCTCTTCCCCTCTGAAGCAAAAATGGATTCGAATCTCGAAGAAAACCCAAACCCAGAAACCAAATCTGCAGAAGAACAGCAAAACCCACTCGCCATTATCTCTTCTTCTCTACCAATCGCTTCTCTTTCACTCTCCTTCTTCCCTACCTGCACTCAGTTCCTCATCAACCCTAAGTTCTCTCGTCTCTTTACTCATCATCCAAACAAGGTTAAGATCCCTACACAAGCTTCTTATCTCACACATCTCTCTCTTTCTTCCGTTTCCTCTTCTCCTTTACCTTCCAGAATCTCATTCAAATCCACAATCGCCGCAAATCCTCTTCAATCCCCTCTCTCGATCGTCCCTCGTCGTCCCGTAGATCCTTCCTCCGCCGCTGCTCTCCGTCGTGCTGCAGTCGTCTGGTTCCGTAATGACCTCCGTGTACACGACAACGAGTGTCTCAACTCTGCCAACGACGAGTGCGTCTCCGTTTTGCCAGTTTATTGCTTCGACCCTAGAGACTATGGCAAATCCTCTTCTGGGTTCGACAAAACGGGACCGTTTCGTGCTCAATTTCTGATTGAATCGGTTTCTGAGCTCCGGAAGAATCTTCAGGCGAGAGGGTCGAATCTCGTTGTCCGGGTTGGGAAACCCGAATCGGTTTTGGTGGAATTGGCTAAGGAAATTGGAGCTGATGCGGTTTATGCTCACAGGGAAGTGTCTCATGACGAGGTTAAAGCGGAAGGGAAGATAGAGAAGGCTATGAAGGAGGAAGGTGTTGAAGTTAAGTACTTTTGGGGAAGCACTCTGTATCATTTGGATGATTTGCCATTCAAAATTGAAGAATTGCCTTCGAATTACGGAGCATTCAAGGACAAAGTCCAGAAATTGGAGATTAGGAAGACAATTGCAGCACTGGATCAATTGAAAAGCTTGCCTTCTCGAGGAGACGTAGAACTTGGCGATATTCCTTCTCTGTTGGATCTTGGTGTTAGCCCTAGTGCTAGAACCAGCCAGGTTTGAGTTTTACCTTAGTCCTTTTGCTTTAATGGATTGCTTAGCTTTCTTTGGTTAGTCCTTTGATTCCTAGCCATTCAGGTTTAAGCACTTAGAAAGTTTGAAACTTGTGGGATTTATATTCGTTCAAAGGTTCAAAATTCACCAAATGGTTCCAGTTCTATAGGAAGAGTGAAGTATAATATAGACAAATATTTGCAATGTAGTGCAATTCACATCAAGTGTAACCCGTCATAACGCTATTTGAAGGTCCATCATGGATTAGTCTGGCTTAAAGGAAATTCTTTTGTAGGATCAATCAATGAACACATATCTTTCAGTCCAATATCAAGCTATTGCTCTTACAGTTATTCTCAGAAGTTAACCTTTTTGTTTGGTCCAGGAGGGGAAACCGACAATGGTTGGAGGAGAGACAGAGGCGTTGAATAGGCTAAAGAGCTTTGCAGCGGATTGTCAAGCTCGATTGAACAAGGGAAATCAGAAAGGAGGGAATAACAGTGTGTTTGGTGCAAACTTCTCGTGCAAGATATCACCTTGGTTAGCCATGGGAAGCATCTCTCCTCGTTCCATGTTCGATGAGCTGAAGAAAACAGTTTCTGCATCAACCACCCCCAAAGGTCCAAGGTATTGTCTCAAAACACAGACACTTTAGGGAACTCTGATAAACCGATTTGGACCTAGTAAGGGTATGTGTTTAGTTACCATGGTTTGAAATGATTTTCTCAGGAACGGACCCGGGGATACCGGACTCAACTGGTTGATGTATGAGTTGCTATGGAGGGATTTCTTCAGGTGAGCTCTTGCTTGCTAAACTTGTCCCCACGTAGAATTTGACCTTTGTCCGAACCTGTCTTTGATGTGGTTTGATACTTGGAACAGGTTTATAACAAAGAAGTACAGCTCGGCGAAGACGCAGGTCGAAGCTGGTCCCGCTACAGCATGTACCGGAGCTTTTGCTTAAACTTTAGAAATTTTCAGGTGACCAGAAATATTAGAACTCATCTGGCTTTTGCCCTACTTTTGGTATCTGTGAATTCGTTTGCCATCTGGACATGACTTAACTGTTCCTTTTGAAACTGAGCATCTGGAGGATGAATAATACGCTTTTTTGCTCAATCAAGTTGCAATTTTTTTTGCTATACAATCTGTGATTGTAGTTAAAAGGGTTAAGAATTAAATAAACAGCCTCATAATCCTAACTATAATTTTTGATCCATGATCCATCCAAATTCATTTTCAATATGCTTTATATTTGTAAGACATATTTAGCCAACTGCCTTTGATAAGTATAACAAGTAAAAAAAGAAGAGGAGACATGTGTGGTAATAAGA